TTTGTTTTTATAAATTAGAAAGGGCTGGTAAGAGAGAGATGTAAGTTGAGAAAATAACCTATGGGGATGTTCAACTATACCTGTAACATATAGTCTACTGCTGTGACTAATTCATCAATTTTCTGCAAAACAAAAGGTAGCACCCAAATTTCACTATATACTGCCGCTTCTATGTAATGTTCTCCATGTGGTTCATGCCCTAATGCCATTTTGTAGGGTGAGACCACCTTTTACTAAGACCTTCCTGGCACCTAAGTAACTCAACCTTTTGGGTGGGCTCCAAAGGTACATATGGCTCATCCAAAATACTGTCCTATAATGGATAGGGCTATTACATCAAAGCCCTGCTACACCAATCATACCAGTCATAAATCGCAGTGAGAAGAAAGCTAAGAAGCCATATTCATAATAGTTAGAAGAGAGTACTTATTGATTTGTGGATGTTGTTAGTAATTACTCATGCTGCCTTTGACTTCACTGTGGGTAAATCTAATTGAAAAAGATTTCTGCTCTTCGATGACTGCTGGCAGGGGCATCCTAATTGGGTGTTATTAACAACATAGTTTGTAATTATAAAATAATTGTGGGGTCGCAAAGTCAAGACTACAACCTCAGTAAGCAGGAGGAAATGGGGCTGTAAAAGAGAAATCTAATTTAGAGGTCACACAGAAGTTAAAAAGGAGCAAATTTCTAAATACTTCTGTGACAGAAGAATACTTCTCTCGATGGGCATAACCTTGTACCTTGCGGGGAGGGACACTATATACCAGGCAAATATTCCACTAGGTTGGGTAAAAACAATAATGTCTTTCCAATTTTATTATTAAATACATTTATTTTCAATAAGATACTTGAACTTGGAATTAGGATTCTGGTTTCTCTTTCTAGTATTTTTGTACAACCAAACGGAAGAAGTACAGAGAGGAACTAGTTCTTGGCGCAAATCATAATTTACCAGTTTATGTAAGAGTAAGTATTGGTATATCAATCCCATTTGTTCATAAGTGAAAATAAATAAATTGGTCAGTCTCTAACACAGGACCAGCACTGACTTCGACCAATGACATCATGGGATGGACTGGATATACTTCGATACAATGTTATTTCTCAAGCATGCAGGCCAACTGCGATCCCATCTCTCCTCAGATCATATCATGTTCTGAGAACCCAAAACAGAAATATCTCAGAGCTGATATTTTCCTAGCAGAAAAGAGGCCTGATCCACATCAAGCCCCCAGCACCGCATTAGCTTGTTCAGTTGCAATAAGCAAGAATCTCTCACATTTACAGTGTTAACTTTTCAAAGTAACACATTTGGACAGTTCAGTTTCTTAAATTTCTCTCAGCAGTTGTGACTTATAAAATGCGTTAGACATC